ATCTGTTATAACATGTTACCATGACACGTGTAAACACATGATTGGTTGAAAATATTAAAAAAAACCTAAAATTCCAGCCACTCGCTCATCACCCCTTAACCTCGCCGGAACCCTAACCCCACCCCTTACCAGCCATCCACTCCACTATTCACCACCTTCATTTGACGTCCACCGCCCAACTCCTCCGATCCCTACTCACCACACTTCTCACCACTAAATAGCACCAACCTTCCTCCTCAGCTCCCTCACAACACCAATTCACACCACCACCACCAATCTCCACCAATTCGCGCAACCAAGCCACCACTCAGCTCCACCGCATCATCACCATAACGATGGCTGCAACTTCAATGCATTTTTTCTGGCGAATTATCAGTTTTTGATGGATGAGAATAGTAATAAGAAGAAGCTTTCGCCTAATTCAAGAGGGAGTAACGATGAGGGGATGTTGTCTTTCACTTTTGGGGTGATTTTAGCGTAGTTTGGGGTGTGGAAATTGAGTAAATGGAGGTGTTGATTTGGAGCATTCAGACTCAATGAGGTTAAGGGGTTTATAAGGTGATTTTGGGGGTCGGAGTGGGCTGGGTGGATAGTTTTAGGGGTCGGGGATAGGTGGTAAAGGTCGGCCGACCATTTTCGGTGGTTAAGGGGGTTGCCTGGCCGGTTTTTGGCGAGGTTATTAGGGAGCGGTGTTAGGGTTCCGGCAAGGTTAGGGGACGGGGAAAAGGTGGCTAGAACTCCAGTTTTTTTTTTAAAATGATTTGGACCATTCAAGTTTTAATCTTAATTTTGGACCATTCACGAGTTGTGTCATTTTAATTGAAAAAAAAAACTCTTTGAGCCGGTCACCATTCATCGAGATCATTGGAGGCAAACTGGCCCATAATTAAGATTATTAAATAATACTACGTTATTTGGAATAATTAAAAGTAAATCGTTCATAGTAGGGATTATTAAAGTTTTTTTTTTTTTGTAGGGAAAAAAATGGAATGATTTGCTATGTTGAAAGAGTCACGTAATTTCTAACCATGTAAATGAAACTATGACTAGGTTATATCCCGTGTCATTATGCACGGTAATTTTAATAACTGTTATTTAATAAATAATATATTTAAGGAAAAATGGAAAAGAAAAATCCAACCTTTGCACTTTTTCCGTATAAAAATCCAATATTTTGTTTATTTCTCAAATATCCAACCTTTATACCCATTTTTCTCCAACAGGTTCATTTTACATGTGACCTGATAAACAGGTTAATTTTTTTTATTTTCTCATTTTCCCTTCTCACTCCTCTTATTTCTCTCTCCCCGATCTCACCTCAAACACTGAAACCACTAACCCCACCTCCGTCACCACCACTCATCACCGCCGTTTCTCCCTCTCTATCTCTCTCTCACCTCTTCCTCCATGGATTTATCAACCCTCACCCTTAGCTCCAGCATATCAGGCTTGCGAATCCAAGAAATCAGAAATCAACGGTGGGTGATTTACGTTTTTTCGAGCTGTGTTTCAGGCGAAGGTTGTTATGGGCAAGTTGCAGGTAGGGAGGGTTTCGGGGTTAAGGGAAGCGACGGTGGGTGATTTGGATGGTTGACGTGACGGAAAAAGTGAGGTGTAGTGACGGAAAAGGGGGGTTTTCTGAATATTTTTGGTGGTTTGGCGGTTTGCGAGGTTTGGGTTTGGAGTTGGTGGTTGGGCGTTTTTGTTGGTGGCTGGACGGTGGAGTTGGTGGTTGTGCGTTTTTGTTGGTGGCTGGGCGTGTGTGTTGGTGGCAAGGGAAGGTGGTGGTGGTGGCGTTGGGTTTCGGTGGGCTGTGAGTTTTGTTGGTGGCGTTGGGTTTAGGTGGGTTCTGAGTTTTGTTGGTGGCGTGTTCGTTGGTTCCGGTGGGCGGTGGGCGCGCAGGGGAGGGATGGGGAGAGGGAGTGGTGGCAGGGGGTGGTGGAGGTGGCAGGGGAAGGTGGTGGTGGAGGAAAAGGGGTTTTTTGATTTTTTTTTCTTTTAATTATTTTTGTTTTGTAATAATTAAAAAATAACTAACCTATTAATAGCTGACACGTGACATATAACTTAGTAAAACTGGTCATCAACAAGGAATGGACCAGTTGGAGAAGGGGGTATAAAGGTTGGATTTTTGAGGAATAAACAAAAGGTTGGATTTTTCTACGGAAAAAGTGCAAAGGTTGAATTTTTCTTTTCCATTTTTCCTATATTTAATTTGTTATAAGTTATTAATTTTTAAAATGGTTTTATTATGATTTACGAAGGAATCTATTATTAAGAATATAAGTATTTTAAAATACGCATATATGTATGTTTATATACAGTACATTTTACCAACAAATTTATATCATTCTTTTCTAGTTAACCAAATAAATATCTTAACAATGGCCTTGTTTGGCAAATGGCTGTTGGCTGGTTCACTTGGCTTGTTTGACTAGCTGGAATGTTTGGTTGTTTATAATGGCTTTTGAAATTGACTGTTTAAGCTAGCTGTTTATAAAAGTGTTTGGTAAATTAATTGTTGGGTGTTGGCTGTTTATTAGATATTTGTGGGCCAACAAGCCAAAAGCCAACAAAAAAGCTACTCAAAGCAGCTTTTTCATCTTGGCTTAAAAGCCAGCTTTTTCGCTGACTAAAAAGCCAATTACCAAACACATTTTTTGGCTGTTTGACCACCTAAAAAGCCAAAAGCCAAAAGCTAACCAAAAAGCCATTAAAAAACCAATTACCAAACATGGCCAATATGTATTTAGCCCGTAAAAAAAGTTCCTTTTTAATTTTTTACCCACTACTCCGTATTATTCATTTTTTTACCCACTACTCTGTATTATTCACTCTCTCTTATGCCTTATTTTTTTAATAATCAATTGACTTAAAATATTTTTTTTATATTTTCCTAGCAAGTTTTTCATACATAAATCAAATACAAAAATCTTTTTTTTTTTAAAAGAAAAAAAAGGTAGAGTAGTACACAATAATATGTATACCATAGATTATGTTAAGAATTTGATTTTATTTTTATATTTTTACTTAAGTTTATGGTAGCAATATATATTATGCAATGATATATTAAATCTTTTTTATTTATTTATTTATTTATTTATAAGATTTTATTTTTTAAAAAGAAAAATCTAAGGGACACACCAGAAAATTACACGTGTCATTGTTAGTGTGTATAGAGTATTAATTATACTCCGTAGTTAGGAAAAATTGTCATCAATAATCTGACCTTTACCTTATCCACCAAAAATAATCCCATCTTTTGATTATTTTTAAATAATTCGACCTTTATTATCAATCCGCTTTAAATGAACCCAACCAGTCATTTACTTATTATAGCAAGTCACATGGCACGTGTTGGCATTTGAATGATAAAAAAATTAAACATTTTTTAAAAGAAAAAATAAAATAATGTATTATTTAATTACTATTCAAAAAAAATTATTATTTAATTAGATAAAAAACAGCCCCCACCACCGTCCAATCCCCTCCACGACCGCCACCTCCACCAACTCAACCCTCTGCCTTCCCCCAACATCGAAGCGCCGCACCGACCACCTTTGCCACCTCTCCCAAAACCGCTGACTCACCTCCACCAGCCCGACCATCGAAAAACTCCTTCCCTGTCCCGATCCTGACCTCCCTACCCTTGAAAAACCCTAACTATCCCCATCCCCTGTCCCATTTCCGCCCCTCCCCTTCCCACTCCCCGATTTTTGGCCATCCTCCCCTTCCCAAGGCTTGATTTCGGTCCCCCCCCCCCTCTACGCCTTAATTATGGCCTGTCGTTTCGCCATTTCTATAATAAGGGTGGTGGTTTTAAGGCAATGGAAGGGGGTAGGGAATGGACGGTGACCGGCGTGGGGAAGTTAGGGTGAAGGTACGGTGGGGCAAAGGTGTGAACGCAGCGAGGCTAGCGGCGAATGGCGTGGTTTGGGTTGATAGTGGGGTAAAGGAGGTGTTGGGGCAGAGTGTTTTTTTTTTTTTTTTGAAAAAAAATAGTTTAAAACAATTAATTAATACTTCCTCCGTTTCTATTTATTTAACGCGTTTGATTTAAACAAATAAATATTAAAAGAGGAGACATAGTGGGAGAGAATGAAAAAGCAAGTGGGATAGCTTGTAAATGCAAGGTAAATAATTTACCTAAAAGGAAACGTGTCAACTAAAAATATTTTCCTAAAAAGGAATACGTGTCAACTAAAAAGAAACAGAGGTAATATTGATTATTAGTTATAATCATTTCTTTACAAAACTTAAAAACATAATTTATTTTTTGACATACCACGTTGTGACATGTGTAAATTAACCTTTATTTAATAAAACTTTGCCTAGTTAACTGGTTATATACTTATATGTTACTGAGCAATGCGTGGTTCCTACACCCACGACATGGTATACCTGAATTTTGAATTTAAAATTTTATATTTTAAAATTTTAATTTCATTTTCAAAATGTTATTATCCAAAATACTATATTTGGTTTCCTTTCTTTAATATATATATATATATATATATATATATATATATATATATATATATATATATATATATATATATATATATATATATATATATATATATATATATCTTTGAGGTTCTTTATATGACTATATAATGCTCTTTATAAAAAAAATAATTTTTATTCTCTAAAATTATTGAAGGAAACTAATTCCGTGAGTATTCCATTCATTTGTCAGCCAATATATACAATAGTCTAGCCTTATCATAAGGCACTAATTAAGCTACAATTAAGGAAATAGCTAATTACAAAATATACTTAGGCTATAAACAAGGTAACTAAAATATTCACATTGACTAAAGATATATTATGAATAATATATCTTAGCACCACCCCGTAGTCTAAGCGGGAGGAGGACGGACACTTAGACTATCTTTAAAATCTTCAAAAAGAACACGAGGGAGCCCCTTTGTAAAAATATCCGCAATTTGGTGCCTAGAAGGAACATGATGAACACGAACCTCACCACGGGCCACTTTTTACCGAACAAACAAAATATCCATCTCTATGTGCTTTGTTCGTTGATGTTGCACCGGATTGCCAGAAAGATAAACAACACTCACATTGTCATAATAAACCAAAGTTGCCTTCTTAATTGGACAATGTAACTCCAATAGTAGGTTTCGAAGCCAACAAGACTCGGAAACTACATTAGCAACGCCCCTGTACTCTGCTTCGGCACTTGACTTAGACAGAGTTGCTTGTCGTTTGGAGGACTTGGAAATCAAATTATCACCCAAATACACACAATATCCGGATGTGGACCGTCTCGTATCCGGACACCCAGCCCAATCAGCATCTGTATATGAGACAAGAGATGAAACAGAGGACGGATACAAATGCAAATCATGATCAATAGTGCCCTGTACGTAGCGAACAACCCGTTTGAGAGCAGCCATATGACTCTCTTTCGGGTCATGCATATATAAGCAAACATGTTGGACCGCATATGATATATCTGGTCTAGTAAAAGTAAGATATTGCAGGGCCCTTGTAAGACTCTGATACAATGTAGGATCGGCACAAGGAGAACCTGGGGAACTGACCTTCGGTTTAACCTCAACAGGTGTTGCCGAAGGTTTGCATGAAGACATCCCTGCTCGGTCAATAATTTCCTCCGCATATTTGCGTTGTGACAAAAATAATCCACCCTTATGTCTTGTCACTGCTATGCCAAGAAAATAATTAAGATGACCCAAGTCCTTCATAGCAAATTCAGAGCTAAGAAGAGACATAATATAACACCGCAGAGTATCAGAAGAGGCAGTAAGAATAATGTATGTCATCAACATATAATAGCAAATAAGCGACATTCTTCCCCTGTCGATAAATAAATAAAGAGTTGTCACTCTTACTATTAGTGAAACCAATAGAAGCAACAAAATCTGAAAACCTCTTATACCAAGCCCAGGATGCCTGCTTAAGACCATATAATGACTTCCGTAACAAACATACATAATCAGGGCGAGTTTGATCACGGAAAGCAACTGGTTGATGCATATATACTGTCTCATTAAGATCACCATGTAAAAATGCATTCTTGACATCAAGTTGATGTATAGGCCAAGCTTTTGATAAAGCAAGACTAAGAACAGTCCAAATAGTAGCCGGCTTGACAACTGGACTAAAAGTCTCCCCACAATCAATGCCAACCTGTTGTGTTTTGCCATCACCTACAAGACAGGCTTTATGCCTCTCAAAATCACCGTTAGATTTCACCTTATGAGTAAAAATCCACATAGAACGAATAACATTAACATCAGGTGGACGGGGCACCAACTCCCACGTCTTATTATTAATAAGAGCATCAAATTCATCATCCATGGCCCCATTTTCCAATTCGGGTCACGAAGAGCAGAAATGGGGTTATGGGGCAAAGGGGATTTCGTAACACTAGACGTCATAGCACTGAAATTTTTATATTTCGGGTTGGGCTTGACTATACCATTTCGACTTCGGGTGACAATACTAGGAGGGGGTTGTGGAGTAGAAGAATGAGAAGATGGAGCCGTGGGAATTGGGCTAGAGGCAGTTGGGTCAGCTGAGTGGGTAGGACCCTGCTGGGCCGTGGCTGATTGAACAGGCCCACGGTCCAGCGAGGCCCCATTCTGCCCAACATCAACAACTCGTATGCCAGGAGTAAGGGGAGCTGAGCCTAGGCTGGTGCGAACTGGGCCGGAGGGAGCAGCATGAGGCCCATTTCGGTGAGAACTAGGTGAGGGAGAAGGAGAATCGCGAACTGGGCTGGAGGGTGTGACTTGTGGCCTAGTTCGGTTAGAGCTAGAAGAAGGAGGTTGGGTCGTGCTTTGCAAATGTTGAATAACATAGAAATTCAGGCCATCATCCAAGAAATCATAAGTATGGGAAGAAGGTTTATGCAAGTCCGCAAAAAGAAAAATACTCTCATCAAACACAACATGGCGACTAATAATAATTTTATTAGACGATAAATCAAAGAATTTGTAACCCCTATGATTCGGTAGGTACCCCAAAAAAACACACGGTGTGGAGTGAGGTTGAAGCTTATTAATGGTAGTAGATGGAATCAAGGGATAACACAAACACCCAAAAACACGTAAGTGAGAGTAAGATGGGTCCTTTTGGTATAAAACTTGGAGAGGTGACTTATTTTCTAGCAATTTAGTTGGTAGAATATTATGAAGATATGTTGCCATTTGCAAAGCATGGTGCCAAAAAGACGGAGGTAGAGAAGCATAAGAAAGAAGAGTTCGTATGATATTATTCAAAGATCTTATTTTTCTCAGCCTTTCCATTTTGTGACGAAGTATGGGGACAAGAAAGACGAAAAGACATGCCATTAGATTCACATAAATCCCAAAAGGGACCGTTATCATATTCCCTCCCATTATCACATTGAAAAGTTTTAATTGGTCGTTCAAATTGAGTACGAATAAATGCTTGGAAGGCTAATATTTTGTCAAACACATCCAATTTTTTAGCTAAGGGAAAAGTCCACAAAAATTTAGAATAATCATCCAACACAAGCATATAATAACGATGACCCAATGAACTCAAAACAGGAGAGGTCCATAAATCACTATGAATAATATCAAAAAACATAGAAGTACTAGAATTCGATGACATAAAAGGCAATTTTACGTGTTTTCCAAGTACACAAGAATTGCAAACATTAGCACTAGAATTATGAGGACATTCAATGCTTTTATTAATACGAAGAGTCTTTAAAATAGACAATCCCGGGTGTCCCAATCGATCATGCCATAAAGAGGAAGCTAAAGCTGTAAAATTTGATGGAGTTGAGTTTTTGAAAGTGGTAGTAAGAGGATAAAGGTCTCCTTGGCTATCACATCTCATTATTGGCATCCCTCTCAGATAATCCTTCACAGAAAAACCATAAGGGTCAAACTCAACGGTCACACAATTATCAGTTATAAACTTCCTAAAACAAATCAAATTTTTAATAATTTTAGGAGCATGAAGGACATTAGTGAGGGACAAAGGAGGGTTAGGGGAAGGCAACGTAGTATGACCACAACCATGAATTAGAATCGTATGACCACTACCAACAACAATACCATTAGGATGATTGCTCAAATTAAAATAAGACGAGAGATTACCGTTGGAGGAAGTCATGTGCGAGGTTGCACCGGTGTCCATGTACCACGAAGGATCGGGTTGGCTCAACGCCATGGTGTGCATAGCTGATTCAATATGGGTGGGAACATATGTCATGGGCTGCTGCTGTGAGACCGAGTAAGCTTGCTGTGGGCGTGGGCCCAATACACCTTGTTGCTGCTTGACTGGGCCTTGAGGACGAGCCCAGCCGTTTGTGGGATATAGGCAAGGAGGAGCCCATTGTAGAGCCCAACCCCATGGCTGAAACGGAGCATACCCCTGCTGCCATGGTGGTGGAGCAGGCCACCCCTGCTGCTGTTGCTACTGACTGCCGCGACTGCCACCCTGCTGGCCGCCGGTGTTCTGACCACCCCCACTGCCGGAGCTACGACCACCACTGCCACTGTGCTGGCCACCGGATTTTCGAGCCCCATTTTTTTTTTCTGATTTTTTGATTTGCCGCGAGATGCCCCTGTTTCACCCCCGGAATTGGCAGATTCTCGAGGAACACTTGCCACCATTGCCAAAGCTGTTGTAGCAGCCCGTTTTGCCAAGCCCGCCTCCTCCAAAGTTAGCATGGATCGAGCTTGGTAAAATTGAGGAAGAGGGTTGCTCTGCCTAATTAAAGTTGCAACACCGTTGTACGGTTCCGTGAGACCGGAAACCAATTGAAGGACAAGGCGGTTGTTATCCACCGGTGCCCCTACATTCTTCAACTGATCGGAGAGGCTTTTGAGCCGTTGACAGTATGCCGAGATGTTTGGGGACTCCTCCATATTGGTGTTTGAGAACTCATGTTCCAAAGTTACGGCACGGGAGTTTTGATTGTCTTGGAAAATATCACGAAGTCTATTCCAAGCCTCCATTGCCGTAGAGTTAAGTTCCATAATTGTGTGCATAAGGTCTTTTGAGATCGTGGAATAAATCCACCCAAGAACCAGAGCATCCAAAATTGTCCATAGCTCCTTTTCCTCCTCAGTTGAAGGTGCAACAACCTTTTTTTTTCGGAGCTATGATATGATGTAGAACCTTGTGAGATCGAGCATTGCGTTGAATCCCATGAATTGTGGAAGACATTGATTTTTTTTTTTTTAAAATAACAAACTGAAAACTTGCAAATAAAATGTTAAAAACACATCATTTAACACTAGGTGTACCGTGTACCTACCATGAGCATGGTACACCCTGGTGTACTATACAATTTTCAGTTGCTGAGACCATTAGAAGCAGATTGATATTAAAGATCGGATTATTAAAAAATAATCGAAAGATGGGATTTTTTTTTAAAGATCGGATTATTAAAAAATAATCCCATCTTTCGATTATTTTTTTTTAGGCAAATGAGAATTGACAATTTTTTCATATAATATTGATTGATGTATAGAAACACTGATTAACATTTTTTTTACAGCACTCCCCTGTTTATATTTGTTGCTCCAATAATCCGTATTACATTATGTAGCTTTTAAATTAATACTTCATCAATCTCCATGAATTAACAATTGATTCCTCTACGACTCCTTCAAAACTGTGTCGCATCAAAGCAGATCATTTGACAAACCATGAGACCCAAAATCTACCTATTTGGAGACTCCATTACTGAAGAATCATTTAGCAATGGAGGCTGGGGAGCTTCACTGGCTAATCATTTCTCTCGTACGGTATGCACACCAACTGTTCGACGATATGCCTAAATGACGCCAATTCAACCTTTTTTTTGTGGGAATTTGCAAAATTTGATTTTATTCAAGATTATGAATCTGGGTTTTTGTGGGGTTTTATTAATTTGATTTAATATCTGGGTTTCAGGTTGATATATTGATGAGAGGTTACAGTGGGTACAACACCAGATGGGCGGTGAAAGTGTTGGATAAGGTGTTTCCGGCGGCGGATGAAGCGGCGCCAATGGCGGTGACGGTGTTTTTTGGGGCCAATGATGCTTGTCTTAATGATGGTTATGCCGCCTTTCAACACGTGCCTTTGGATGAATACAAAGAAAACCTTCGCAATATCTTCTCTTTCCTCAAGGTGTGTCATCATATCAACTCTCTTTTTCAGAGTCTTTCTTTCTGTCTCTCTGTTATGCACACATGTAGAGCATAATAAAATGTTTACGAGTGTCAATTTTTAAAGTTGTAGACTTTGATTCTACTGTAGTAGATTTGGTGATCACATTTTTTACTTATATATATTTTTTCTATACATTGATTTATGGATTTCAATAACTTTAGTTGGTTAAATGTTTTTGGTACTAGTTAGTTATAATCTTGGCTAAAGTTTCAATAAATTAATGTGGCCCTTGGCCTGTTAGATCATTTAAGTATCAGGGGTGTTTGGTTAATGAAATATTAGGATTGAGTACGTGTTTGGAATTGGTATGACATAAATAGACTAAGTTCTACTTCTAAACCATTGACCCTTGTCTCAAATTAAAAGGGATGTCGAATTTTGTTACTGGCCAATCGATTCTTGCATAATAGGAAGAAAGGGAAAGTTGAGTTGGTTCGATTGTTTTTGTCATTGGTTGTAATCAAGTTTGGTTTTGTGTTTAGGCATTTTGACTTTTTGAATTCTAGAGTAACTATATAATACTCTGTACAAGGAACATTTGTTGATAACTTGCTATGTTTTGCACTTT